TCGTATATTGACCGCATCCAAAATACATTCATCTGAAGATTTGTCATTTCAAATTGTCCCTAAAAAGGTAAACAATAGCCACATAATTTTCAAAATGGTATGAGATTAATTGATGCAATAAAACTAATTAAGATTAAACATCTGCAGTGAAGACTAAGTGGTGTATTTACTTGTAAGATATCTCTTGGGTTTGCCAGAGCATCCAAATCATCTAACACACTAAACACAACACAGTAAGATGATCCATCTGTCAAGAAAAACTGGAATGAAAGACAAAATTTAAAATCCAAAAATATTTAAAACATCACTGTTAAAACTGACCATTGAAAAAATGATTTTATTACTGTTAAGTCACTTAACAAGAGATATTTAAATAACTACTATATACAGGTACTCTTACAAGCATAAAAAATTGATGTTTATTGTTTTATTTGAGTCATATAGAGCCCTGTTTCTCAACATATGGGTCGGGCCGCCAAAACATATCTGATGGTCGCGAAACTGACCCCTGATAAAAAAGGCAGACTTTCATTAAGCTTTCAAAATATAATTGCGTCAAATACCGGTATTCAACATACCAGTCCTACAAAGGACTAAATAATTAAGAGATACACCTGACGTGCACACACAAGCTTCAGTCAATCATTAATAATCAAGCAGTGACCCTTGCCAAATTATATTGTTTTATTTAAATTTTAAACATTTCAAATAACGAGTGTCTCAAACAATATTCCTACTATAAAATGGAACCATCTGCACATGACCAATGACAATATGCCTCGTAAACTGTGCTTGGTAAAAATTGAACAATTATACAGGCACTTTGTTAGCGGCGGTTGACTAACAATACAGCAACAGACTGCAAAAATCTTTAATACCAGAATAATTAGGAGAGAACTGTTATAGCATAGATATCAAATTATACTAGCATGGATTTAGTGGGTCGCCCCCCCCCCCCTGAAAAATGTTGAGAAGCAGGGATATAGATGGTGATCTTCCAGTCGAGGCCTAAAATTTAGTTGATATTTAGGAGCTTTTTAAATAAATTCAATATTGTGATAATCAAACTAATTCTCATATAAAGTATGGAGTTGTTTTAACTGGTACAAAAAATAATGGTGCCTTTAAAGAATTATAACCAAGGACAATGAGCAGGGGTGGATCTAGAAAGGGGCACGAGGAACATCCCCCCCCCCCCTTTTTCCATTAAAAAAATTTTCAATGCATATATTGAAATTAATTCTACTCACTTATTCATACTGAATATGTTGTGCCTCCCCGACCAAAGTCACATGTCAAATCAAAAGAAAACATACAATAATCTTGATGTGCTTCTTTCAGTGGAATTTATTACTTACCCTGTGAGATATATAATAGGTCAGTTGACCGGCATAGTCCCAAATGCACGTGACATCACTTGGTATAAAAATTTCCTTGTGATGTTGAATAGGATTTCTGCTAGGTACCTCTGCTGTTTGAAGTTGTTGACCAAATATAGCTCGACGAAATCGTTGAAGCAAACTGGATCTTTGATATGGCTGGTCAAATAGGGTAGGAGGATGGAAAGTGTCAGGTACAGCAAGTTTAGCAACAAGTTTCTCATGAATTCCTTCTGGGAGTTTCCTGGTATAGCGTGCACTTCTGGTTGCTTCTGATGGCTTCTGTATTAAACATTCAAGAATGACTAATCTATATCAGTTCAAATTTATGCAAAAATTTTAACCAGTTGTTCAGGTAATGTTTTTTTTAGAGAGCGCTAAAAAAAATACATATTAAAAATTTAAAAGAACATCAACTAAATTAATTAAAGTAATTTTTGAAATCATGAGAAATACAAATTCACCGATGAAGCAGCTGTAGAACTAGATGATGCAGAATTAGTTGTGTCTTGTTGGCTTTTTGGCTGTTTCAGCTTTTTGGCGAGATTTTCTGCGATGGCATGCTCACGTATCTGCTTCGTTAGTTCACAAACTGTAAAATATTGAAAGGTTTTTAAAAAAAAATTGAATAATTTATAAAAATAAATTTTCAATTAAATTATTTGTATTTTAAGAAAGTAAAATATTCATACAATCCGCATCCTTCTGTTCCTGCTATTTGCAAAAAAGAAGTTATCAAAATAACTTATACAAATAAAAATTTATAATATTTAAAGTTAAATTTTTAATTAAATTACTTATATTTCAAGAAAGTATAATATTCATACCATCCACATCCTTCTGTTCCTTCCATTCGCTGCCATCTCCATCAACCGTTTGAAATACTGTTGTTGTTACAATACCATCTGTTGATGGTTCCTTGTTGTTAAATCTATTCACATTTACATAAATATAATAATACAATAAATTGAAGTAATGACAACAGTGTACATAGCATGTTAAACTATCAAAACTTTCCAATATAGCCTTAGTTTTGCATTGTAAGCCTATATTCACAATCAAATACACATAGGATAATTAATACTGTATATGCCATGTTTTCATCCTTACATTAGTTTTATATAGAACATTAAATTAGTTTTTCAATAACAGTTGAAATAGCAATAATAAAGTGCAACAAGCTCTGGAGGCACTCAGTAACAAAATGGTGTCATATGTACTGTGCTATATTGATGTGTTGTGTGTGTGTGGTGTAGAATTGTATATAATGCATACTAAGTAGAAAATTAAACCCTTTTAAAATTAGAGTTATATCAGGAGCCAATGGGCAGAAATGCCCTTTTAAAATTCTTTAAACAATTGCAAAAAAATCCTGGATAGTCAGTCGCCTAGGAGAGTAATGAACCTATATGAACCTATATACTATAAGAATATTGTAATAAGACAAAAGACTGTACAATTACCTAAAAAACAAGGCCTTATTTTGTACTTACACTTTGCCAAGCATGGAACGGACACAACTCGTTTTGCCCACCCCTTCTTTCCCAAGGAACATGACTCTGGAATTAACCATCATAATTTCCCCATTCTGGACTTCATATGTGAATGCTTTGATGGCTTCAGGACCTCTCGCTAATATTTCTCCTGGAGCTGATAGCTCTTATGGATATAAAATATAACAAATATTATTTAGTTTACTACAGTAGTATTCTTATGCTACATATTTCTTCCATCCATTTTATAGTTTACATTAAACATACTGTGATTATTTTGTACAAAAAAAATACCATCACTGTACAAACTGATTTCTGAAAATAACACAGCAAAACATTTAAATTTATATCAAGGTGTTGAAACACTGAGAGACTTCTAGAGCATAAACAGGTCAAACAGAAAATAACATTAAAATAAAAAGCTATAAGAATAATAAAGGAACTGAAATATAAGAGTACAAATGTATAGTATTCTTATGAACTATATGCATATCACAGGATTGATTTTTGCCCTTTGACACGACCTCCAGATAACAATGATTGATAATTTTTTACTTACATTGTACATTAACCTTTTTAATTTTGTAGTATTTTTTGCCTCAAACTTTCAAAATGTTAAGTGAAGTTGATTTTTTTAAAATTTTTGTTTACTTTATTTTTCTATTCTTTTTACTTTTGATTCATTGTTGTTGTGAAGAATGCAGATAATTTGATCAATGTTTCCCCTAGGTCTATGCTACAGCCAGACTACTGAAATAACCGTAATGC